TTTATAATTTGTTTAGATATAACTAACTGAAGAATATAAGGACCGTTCTTCGTTCATGTGTATCTGTTTTTCAATATGATGAGAATCTTTTAGATATTGAAATGTTGTCATTAACCTACATACGTTGTGAAAAAAGAAAGACAAAATTAAAACCATCAAGTTCTTTTTTTGATGGATTGACCTCAGTTAGAGTCGAATTGATAAATTGTGGGATTATGGTTAATTGTTTGGTCCTAGTATAGAGCTCTTCAGAAATTAGTACATATGATTATATCGGGGCGTCGAATGAATGAAGTTCAGGTTTCGAGATGAATTCTTAATCATCAGAACTCCTCGTCCATCTACAAAAAACTTTCAACTTCAATCATCAAACCCGATTAATTAAGACTGTTTTACTACAAACATGTTTCGTGCTCACTGCTGAAGAGTCGCATAAAAGTAAGTGATAAGTGTAGAATGCTCCTCAGTTTTTAATAGTACTCAATACGAGATCAATCCATTACGAATATCTTATACAAAACGATATCTTAATACCATACAGTTAAACGTACTCAAGATTTGCTTTAAAATATCGTTTTCACTACCAAAATCACATGAGTAGATTGAAAGTTTGATAAATGTCCTCGAAATAAAAATTAATATCATTTAGTACTGTTTGTTTCAAACAAACAATACTAAGTGAATTCAAACTTCACCCCATTACACACACAAGTGGCTATCAGTACTTAGTAGTTGAGTGGATATCGCGATGGGGTTTGAAGCGAAAGTTACTGGGTTCGAGTCCCAGAGTAAACAACAACCATGAGATGTAGGTACATCTAGCTGACGAGTCCCAAATAAGACGAAACGTGCGTCTTGGATTCCACTGCTTTCCACTATCTATCTTTGCTTATTATCATTATTGATGGCTTTTTTCAATATTACATGTTTAGTAAAATAAGAAATTCCCAGCACAAATTATATCAACAAGCTTTTTGTACAAAAAGAGAGAAAAGACAGTCGATAACTATATACACATACACATGGAATAAGTAATCAAACCATCTGTAATCAAATGAAATGCTTTCGATAAATATAATGATCTATACAACATTTAATTAGCAACAAGTTTAAAAGTACAAATTTCAGGCTAAATCAGCTCCTGAAACCTGTTCGTTACACATTATATTTACTAGATATCGTATCTCTCCATACGTTTTTATGTATCATTGTGCCATGCAAATTATATATATATATATATATATATATATGAATTGCTTGAGTATTGGCTATTGTAGTTAATGCATGTAGGTATCTACATAAGGTACTTCCCAACCACTTTGTAATGAACTAAGCTAGACAATATACCCAATGATGAAGAGACTAAACTAAGTAATAAAAAACGGATCTGTAAAATAAACAAAAAACGAGGGGTAGGTAATTCAAACGAAGGGAATGGTGACCGTTAACTTTTATGAAATTCATGAGCTCAAACTAATGTACTTGTGGAGTGCATGTAACACATAAGTATCAGAAATAGGTAGCAAATACGAATAAAGAGAGAGATGATTATCAACCCTACAGATGAGGTGAATATGCCTATGTGTATGCCACAGGATGCATAAGCGAAAACTTATGTGTTACATGTATGCAGGTAATGTATACTTGTTTGTAGTTTGACGTGCATGCTTGTCAAGACCCAAATGGTTCTAACGGTTTTCATTTGAAAACATATCCATTCGATGGGTTTATGTACCGAGAAATGACAGTCTCTCTTCAAGAAGAGCCAAGCAGGCTCTACTAAATGAGGTTTTTTTTTTAATTGTTGTTTAATTGATATTATCAGCAGGGGTTTTGTGGGGATTTCAGTATTTTTCATAGTTGAAATCATGAGTTAGTTGAAGATAGAATTAACCGATAAACCACTGATCGGTTAAGTGCTCTGGCTCGAGACTGGTAGGTCCTGGGTTTGAAGCCTACAGGGCGAGGTCGTGGATGAGCACTGCTGAGTCCCACAATAGAATGAAACGGCCATCAAGTGCTTCCAGGTTTTCCATGGTGGTCTAGCTTCAATTAACTCATAATTTCAATGATTGATATTAATTTATTTTGTTTTGTTATGAGTAATATTATAAGTTAAACTAAGTTTGTTTGTCTGAAGTTGTTTTTGACAATTTACTTATCTACGTCAAAGATATAAGAAGTAAAAATAACTTTCTAGAACTTTACTTAAAAGTCTTCAAGAAATACACAATGAATAGTAATAATAATAATAATTTGGGATATATAAATTATTTATTATGCATAATATCATCATAAATAATTTATACTGTTCTTTTTTCTTATTTACAAATAAATAAATAGAATTTCAACACAGTTGTTTTACAAAAGTATGTCTCCAGATTATGTCCGTTATGGTTAGAATTTGTTTGGCCTGGTACGGTCGTATGTTAGGAGCATCACTTTTCCCTCTCAAAATGCTTTCACATGTCCACGTGCACATAGCCACTGTTAGGGAATTCCTACTCACTATCTTCTCGCTGTAGGGATGTTGCTTACGAAATTGAGAGCACAAAAAGCGAATATCCTACGGTTCAACTGCGTTAGTGGACACAAAGATTCTCATAAGGAGAGTTGGGAAACTCTGATTCCAAACTAATGGTGCACATGGGCTCAAGGATCTAGAGGAAACAAATGGCGCATGAACTTATTGTTGGTCACCGACTATCATAGGACTGCATCTACTTCGTTACTCCACTGCCTTGTGAATTTTAGGTTGAAAGCTTCGGGTGTGGCTCCTTAAGAGAACCACGTGCTTCGGTATCACAACCCACACACACTAATAAAATGACTTGTGTGGTGTATATGTATTCGGTACCCCTTTGTATCAATATTTGTGTTCAAATAAATAAATAAACTTTGATTATGCACACTTTAACTGAATCTCATTTTGTTTCAAGGATGTAAAACCTTATTTGACAGAAATTGAATGACTTAAATGGTTTGAAATGATATTTTGTTTTTTTTCTTATTGTTATTCAAAAACTACTGTCAATTATTTATGACATTTAAAAATCCTCTTTCTTTTACAATAAAACTAAAACTAAACTGAATAGTCTTAGGGGTCAGATTGAAGAATACACTCCTTTGTGTAATTTCAACATTAACATAAAAATGGTCATATTGTGCTGTTATTTTTAGAGGAATAATTAGTCTCTTATTGTAAAATAATGAGGTACAATAACCATTTTTAATTTGATGAATCATAAAATACGTGAAACTTATTCGGATTGTTAATGCTAGTTGAAAACCTTTGATTAACCAAATTCATTTCAACCATATGAATATTCTTATCTTATTTACAAATGATTGATTACTAGGTGGTGATCTATGTCATGTAAGTCAGGTCCTTTTTAGTTCAGATTAAATCGTATCTATCAAGTTGCAATGTGACCACCAGTCTCGGTGATTCGACATTGCGTGCACTATGTTGAGAAAAGATGGCGGTTGGAAGTAGTCAATAAGAAACCCTGTTGACTACCTAAAATATGAGAAAGATCATACCAAATATTCAAATCATTTTTATCAAATGCATAATTTAACTTCATTTGTTTCTATAGTCCATCATGAACTAAATGTCAAATAATACAATACAGTATGGTAAATTAATTCCTAAATAAAATGTATAAATTTAAATTCAATATACAATCATGAATTTGTTCATTATTATTTCTAAATTCTATCTATCTACTACTTATTAAAAATTTAATTTCATATCAGTAGTTTAACTTGAATCAAGTCTTTTTCCAAACATTTGAGAATTTGTAAACATGGTTTTATTAGTTTACTAACGTAAAAAGTCAATTAGCAATTTGTCAAATTTGATTGATTGTGAACGTGAATAGATTTGTAAGTAAAGTAATCGAACTGGACTATATGAATCGGTATAATCTCCGTTGCCTACCATCCAATCAAAAATAGTGATAAAACTAATAAGTTAATAAGGATACAAAAACAGTTACTTGAAGAAATCAATAAGTATATGCTACCTGTAGAACCCATTGAGTATTATGGTTACTAAGAAATGGGACTAGTTAAAACATATTGTGTCTAAAACTAAAGCTTGATAACGACTATTTATGACTAGTAATATAAAAAGTGATAAAACAGCTTGTGAGAGTTTAATGACTTTTGAGATGAATATTTTCTTCAAGATTTGTTGATGCTTGAGGTTAGATCTGTTAGTTGTATCGTAGGTCATTCAAATTTTGTTTTTCCTTAAAACTTTTTTTTTATCTAAAAATTTAAAAATCAACATGGTCTAGGACGTAGTAAGTTTCCATAACCACTTTTGAGTGTTTAATTTTTGAACATACCAAATGGGCGGAATAAACACTGGTTTGGATAGTAATATTTATGTTTCACAAGAAACAAAAACTAATCTCAAATATAAACAAACACAAACCCAATATTTTTCTTGTATATCTATTTGACAGACTGACACTAACGTTTTATACACCTATGTGTATATATACATTTATATACCAGAAGTACATCGAAGTAGGAAACCATTCTATTTTCAAATAGTAGCTTTAATTTGCCTAATTAAATGATTCCACTACTGAACTTCTATTACTGTTTTGGTAAATATTGTCAGTAACCAATAAGATGGATCACGAACGAAAACATAATCAATGGAACTCAATCACGTTTAAATTGGAGAATTCCTAACTAATAGTAGTAGATGGTCTTTCTGTTCTATGAAAACTTTGATGCAGTTAGACTTGTGCCATTGAGGATTTGTAGACGAATCATCCAAGTCATAGATATCAAACTATCACAAGTATGTACATGAGCTAAAAGTCTTTTCCATTATTATTATTATTATTATTATTATTATTATTACTATTATTATTATTATTATTATTATTAGTAGTAGTAGTAGTAGTAGTATTACAGTCAAGTATCGTTTTAGTGTAATTCATTTTTAACGAAATTTCAAATATTAACAACAAACTTACTTTCATTAGATTCATTAATTGTGAACTACATAAAAATAAGAGGTAGCTCAAAATTCATAAAAACTGACTAGAAAATGATTGTGCATAAAAATGTAGCACTACTTTTATATATGATGTAGTTTTTTGATTCATTTGTCAATGGAAGTTGTGAGATATAGTTCTTCTATGAGCTTCTTATTCACACAACACAAACATGCATATATATATATAGATCTATTCAAGGTACTTTCTGTATTTTTAAGATTTCATTCGATTGATCCAAGATAGATTCATTTAGTTCCTTCTATTCAAATAATTAATTCCAAAAATTAGTAGTATATTCAGTAGTATAAGAGACGAAAAATTTAAATTTGATAAAATTAATTAATTCTCAAATGTAATAATCAAGACCATAATGAATAGCTAATTTACAATGCTCTATACACATTCATATTGAATAGACCAATTATAAGTTAATAAAAAAGTAATAATAAGACCATTTTTCCTATTGGTTCCTTAGTTATTCTATTTCTAGAAATCACTTGTCTTTAATTCGTCAATAATGAAGATGGATATTAATTATAATAGTAATAATAATAATTATTATTATTATTATCAGAAGGGGATTTGTGGAGATTTCAGTATATTTCAAAGTTGAAATCATGAGTCAATTGAAGCTAGACCACCATCGAAAACCTGGAAGCACTGGACGGCCGTTTCGTCCTATTATGGGACTCCTCAGCAGTGCGCATCCACGAACCCGCAATATTCCTATTGGATGCGCACTGCTGAGGAGTCCCATAATAGGACGAAACGGCCGTCCAGTGCTTCCAGGTTTTCGATGGTGGTCTAGCTTCAATTGACTCATGTTTTCAACTTTGAAATAATAATTATTATTATATATAATCATTATGATAACAATAGTAATAATATGTATCCTTTAAAAATCCAACTGCTCATATTTAAAGGAGTAGATATTTGCTATTCGAAATTGTAAAGTAATCTTGAAATTTACTCAGTCATGTTTGTTTGAATCTTCCCATCGATGTGTTAGGACTGCAATTGGTCAGTCTCTTATTGGCATATGTGTATACTGTGCGTATCGCTTCTATATAGTCTAAATTCACAAGCATTATAAGCAAAGATGGATAGTGGCTAGTAGTGGAATCCAGGACATGCGTTTCGTCCTATTTGGGACTCGTCAGCTAGATGTACCTACATCTCAGAGTTGATGTTCACTCTGGAACTCGAACGCAGTACCTTTCACTTCGAACGTCATCGCGTTATCCACTCGGCCACTAAGTCCTGATGGCCACTTCCTTGTGCAATGAGGTGAAGTTGAAATATGCTTAGTATTATTTGTTTGGATCTTCCCATTGATGTTTTTAGTAAAGTAATCTTGTTTTAAATTCAACTGTTAGGTACTTACATTTACACTGAATTTGAACAACAGTATGTTTAATCATGGTTAGTGGTAGTATTACAAACTTCATTGCCATAACTGACTAATTATTAAGTGTCTAAAATGTAAAAAAAACTACTTTCAGTCATTGTTTTGATGGTGAAAATTTTAAGGTGTAAACAGATACCACTTCTAGTTTTATGAATATGTAAACAAACGGATAACTTAAAACCCTATTTCAATTCAGCCAAATAGTCACATTAGTTTGAGGAAATTAGAAAAAACAGAGTAAAATACTATTTTTGACTTTACTACCATTGTTTTGAGGTTAATTATTTGGACTAAAATATTCCTATAATTGTTATAAATAGGCAAGAGGGTAGATTTTATAGCGCATTACTCTGGTTTATTTTGTTCGGAGTAATCGTTTCTCGAATAAAAATCTTTCTTTACGGTCATTAGTATTACTTTCATTCATCCGTACTGCCTAAATAGTTATCACTAACAAATAGTTTCTTTTCTTGAACTGAGAATTTAATTTGTCAGTACGAAATAGATACGTTGAATGATTAATTTTTGATTATTTTCAGATATCGTAATTGGTAAATACAGGGATAATAATGTACATAATAACAGGGGATGCCTTGCACAATATAAAAAATAGTTGTAGTTATGATTGTGATCGATTGATTGTGATCTACGACAGATTTCAACATGGTTATATGTTAACGTTAAATTTCATCTTAAATGTTACATAATATGTAGAAGAAATATAGTTGGTCAGTGTCAAACTTATAACAATAAGTAGATAGAGTTAGCTAGGGAGACGATTAAAATTTATCTTAAGTAAATATTTCTACTTATCTAATTGTCCGTATGTTAATTTGAAGGCAAGAAATTAATCAATACAAACTTCTGCGATTGTTCTATGGTGTAATCGTAAGACGGTAACACTTTATAGACCGGTAAATCGATGATTCTGACTCTAAACGTATGCCTATTCCGAAAATATTCACTACCTAATACTGGGTATACGTTTTAGCTCTAATAATGCATTCAATATTGTTTGTTTGAATCTTCCCATTGATGTTTAGGAATGCTACTGGTCAGTCTCTAATTGGCACATGTGCATACTGTGCGTATTGCCTCGATATATCCTTAATTCACAAGCATGTTAAGCAAAGATGGATAGTGACTAGCAGTGGAATTCAGTTTGACGCGCGTTTCGTCCTATTTGAGACTCGTCAGCTGGATGTACCTGCATCTCAGAGTTGACGTTCACTACGGGATTCGAACCCAGTACCTTTCACTTCAAACGTCATCGCGTTATCTACTCCACCACTGAGTCCTGATAACCACTTCCTTGTGCGATGGGGTAAAGCTCTAATAATGGCATACTTCACTTAAATAGAGTTATACAAAGTAATTATATTTTCTTATCATCAAACTTAATAAAATGTTTTATTACTGATTGGATTAAAGCATTAATTATTTCGATAGTGTAATAAAAAGACAAAGATTACCAGAACCATGTGATAAATTAGTGCAATACATTTCGAACAATTTGATCACATGTAATATACTTGTTAAGAACATTTATAATATACTAAAAGGTCAACTAGACTGGAAATAGGGGGTAAGAATAGACAAGGATAATAATAATATATAAAAGTGTATAGAGCCGTATACAAAGGTTTATTGAAGCCCTAGCCACACGAAAATTCAAACCCTCCTTGTATATTAAAAAACAGTTTGTTCTCTCCTTAAACCTACCCTGGCAATATTAGCTTATTATTCAGAGTGGTTAAGTTTCAAATTGCTTTCACATTATTCTTATTATTATCCTTGTCTACTCTTACCCGCCCATTTCCAGTCTAGTTGACCTTTTATTTTTGTATATAAATGTTCTTAACAAGTATACTATATGTGATCGGATTGTTCGAAATGTATTGCTCTAATATATATCACATGGTTCTGGTAATCTTTGTCTTCTTATTACACTATCGAAATTTATGAAAAGGACTAATTAGATTCATTATTTTTCAACACAACACATTTTATTGTTGGTATATTTAGCTACATGGTTTTGTACATTAACAGAATTAATTGGTTCTGTGGTTCTGAATACCATTAATAGTCTAAATAATGTTACATAGTTAGATCCATGAAATACTTGAAATATGTTTCGACTTTGTGAATTGCAAACTAATCGAACACTCCCAATGTCTCGATAGTCCAATATTGAGGTACTTAATTCATAGAAATAGTTTTATGGTTATGGTGTGATTACTACGATAGTTTTCGTAAGCAAAGCTCCTAACTATGATACGTAACAGAACCAGTCTACAAGTTTATTTGTTATGTATTTAAATGAATGTAATAAAAATTAATATTTAATTTGATGCTTTGCTGAGTTGCAAAATGGCAAAACAAGGACCACATAACTGGAAGGTACTGGAAAGGATTGCCCAGGGCAGGGCAGGATGGAGAATACTGGTATGCGGCCTTTGCTTCTCCATGAGGGGTAACAGGCCTAAGTAAGTAAGTGAGTTGCAAAATCATACGAATATTTGAACAGTATTATTATTGTTCATTTCAAATGAGAAACTTTATATTATAGCGAATAAACCGTCGTTTTATATAGATAATCATTGAGCACATAATTCTAACCAAGTTGAATCTGGGTAAATGTAGACAACATGTTAGCAGATTTGCAATAAGGTAAATGGATAAAATGGATAAAATTAACATTTTTATATTAATTTATTGTGTAATTTAACATGAAAATTTACATTCAACATTTCGCTTCACTTACATTGATTAATTAGTGTTCAATATTATCAAAGATACAACTGTTTAATTGATCAATCTAAAAAAACAACTATCCAACTGTACCTTTTTAACTATGAAACAATAAACCAGAGCAGTTCATTAACATGCTACTAATTACAACATGTCAAGACAGTTCTACTGTATGGGGCGGAGACGTGGAGAACTACGAAAGCCATCATCCAGAAGATACAAGTGTTTATTAACAGTTGTCTACGTCAGACACTATAAGCAACAAGTTATTGTGGGAGACAACAAACCAGATCCCAGCGCAGGTAGAAGCGCTGGAAGTTGATTAGTCACACTTTGAGGAAAACACCCAATTGCGTCACAAGTCAAGCCCTCATATGGAATCCTGAAGGTCAAAAAAGAAGAGGAAGACCAAAGGACACATTACGCCGAGAAATAGGGATAGACATGAGAAGAATGAACAAAAACTTGATAGAATTAGAATGGAAGGTCCAGGACAGAGTAGGTTGGAGAATGCTGGTCGGCGGCCTATGCTCCATTGGGAGTAACAGGTGTAAGTAAGTAAGTAAGTAAGTAGTTACAACATGTATAATTTGAACTAATATACGATTGTAAAACTTCCAAACATCAGTATTCACTATTTTAAAATCAACTAGGTGGTTACTATTCTTGTATCTAGGTTTTCATTATGTGACTGTGTTTCTTATCTTTTTAAACAAAAAATACATTCTATAATTTTAAGTTTTAACAAATAACTATATATTTGATAGTCTCAGTTGGGAGAATTAACACTTCCGGTACTTGAATAATTGATTCGATTGATTCACATTGCACTGAGATAAAATGATTCTGAAGTTGAAAAAATAGCTTGTTTAAATATCTATTCTAACGTTATTCATTTTAAGAAGAAATATAAAGCGGAAACCCTCTCTTCAATGAAAGATTTATTTATGCTTGTATATGTTGGAATATAAACCATTGACACCATACAAATGAATTACATCCTAGCACTTTCAATTAATCCAATACTGTGGGAACGAGTGAAGCACCAATGTCAATCTCGGTACAATGATTTTGTATTTCATATTGTTACACAATTCCTGAAAATACAGGACACTTAGAAAGAAAAGTCTATATTGAAATTGAACTATACAGACATGAATAAATAACGATGTGTCAGATGAACGACGAGTAAACTATTATTTTAAAAAATTATTAATGGTGTTTCCAGAAATTATACATGTCAATGATTCTGAGT